GATATGCACAAAGTCTTAATTTAACATATGTTGAGTTTCCCGAACCATTTTGTATGGAAACCGGATAACAATGTCTGGTTACCTAGACAAACTGAAGATTTCAATAGACGAATAGTGTTAGCACACCCAAGTGAAGGCGAAAGATATTTTTTTAAGAATACTATTATCAAAAAAAAAGATGTCCAAAGTCATACGATGACCTTAAACTTTGTAAAGGACAAAGAGTTGACACCTTTCGACAATCTGCATTACTACATGGATACCTAATTGATGATAACAGCCAACAATTATGTTTGGAAGAGGCATCAAACTTCCACATGCCATATGAATTACGAAGACTTTTTGCTACTTTACTTGTGTATACAAATCTAACAATCAAGAAAATTATGGGAATTATTCGAAGATGCCATGCTTTGAAGACTTTGTACACTACGGTATTCTTTCGCTAACTGAAGCAAAGCGATGTGCATTTCAACAAATTAATACATTGCTACAGTCTAATGGGAGACAACTTCATGACTTTGATATATTGCCAAATGATTTATCATATGCTGATTTAGAAGATGTCACAAGAGAAGTTGCTACTGAAAAAAGTATAATTGTATCAGAAAAGATCAAAGAGCAATACAAAATCTTAACAATAAACAAAAACTTGCATTTGATACAATAATTAGAAAAGTCGAAAGTAACAATGGTGGGGCATTTTTTATTGATGGTCCAGGCGGTACAGGGAAAACTTTCCTATATAGAGCATTATTAGCATACATACGATTAAAAGGACAAATAGCTTTAGCAACTGCAACATCAGGTATAGCTGCCTCATTACTACCAGGAGGAAGGACAACACATTCTAGATTTAAGATTCCATTAGATTTGACAGATAGGTCAAATTGTCGCATTAGTAAACAAAGTTCATTGGGTATATTGATTAAGATTTGTACAATAATTATTTGGGATGAAGCTCCAATGGCAAAAAGACAAGCAATAAGAAGCCCTAGATGACCTTTTAAAAGATCTTATGGAATCAACTCAAATATTTGGAGGGAAAGTAGTTGTACTTGGGTGATTTTAGGCAAACATTACCAGTTGTTCGAAATGGAAGCAAACATGATACAATTGCTGCTTGTATAACTAACTCACATATATGGCCATCACTATGTGTACTACAACTAGATGAAAACATGAGGGCATTATTAGATCCAGTTTTTACTGAATTCCTTCTAAGATTAGGTGAATGTAGAAGAAAATTTACAAGATGATGTTGTTACTCTTCCATCACAAATTGTCATAGCAAATAATGATGAATCACAAGGGTTAAATCTTCTAATTAAATATGTTTACCCACATATATTTGAAAATTATAAAGATAACCCTGCATCCTTCACCTTCAATCGAGCTATTTTGACAACTAAAAATACTTTTGTTGATGAGCTAAATGATATCTTAATAAACAAATTCCAAGGAGAAGAGAAAGAGTATATTAGTTGATGAAAACACTTGATCCAAATGACCAAGCTCATTATGAGGATCTTCTACATTCTTTAACTCCACATGGTATGCCCCCACATAAACTGATTTTAAAGGTAGATGCACCTATTATATTATTAAGAAACATACATCCAGAAGAAGGATTATGTAAACTGATTTGCAAGGAGTTTGATAGAAATGTTATTCGAGCACAAATAACATTCAGTGATTTTGCTGGAAAAGATGTATTTATACATAGAATACCTTTACAACCACCTACAGGTGAAGAATACACAGTGCCATTCAAAAGAACACAATTTCCAATCAAGGTCTGTTTTGCAATGACAATTAATAAAGCACAAGGCCAAACACTAGACAGAGTGGGCATATACCTTAAGGAACCTATTTTTTCACATGGACAATTGTATGTTGCCCTCTCTCGTGCTAGAGGTATTGAAAATGTTAAAGTTGTTATCAAAGAATCTCACAAAAATCAAGAAATACATAAAACAAAAAATATCATATATCAAGAAGTATTACAATGTTCAAAACAACAACAAGAGGTATGTATTACTATAAGTTTAATATCTGGTATGATGAAAACAAATACTAAATTCACACACATTGTTGCACATTGATTATATAAGATAAAGGACATTTCATTTTTCAAATTTTTATCAACTTTATTGAATTGAAGTCCATTTGTGAAAAATCCCCTTATATGATAATTTTCATGCAGTAATTCAATTGAATATCAGGAGTGCATTCTAGCGGTGGTAATTCCTTTCTTTGCCAACAAATTACAACACTCAATGTAAGTGATTTGCAATATCATGGTTGGTTGACAGATTACATGCTTTTAATATAAATTTTTACCATGAATATTTCCAACAGGAAAACAACTACAAAACCAAAATAAAGATTTCGGTTTACATAGGAATTCACTATTCAATGATCTGGTAAGTGCACTTTGATTTCTGCATTACATTCCAATTTTCATTCTTTTTCATTTATTATTACCTGATTTAAATGAAATGTCAATGACTACCATATAAATCATTATTATCGATTATAGCAATATTTTTATTATAGTATATAATAAGCAATATAGTGATCCATCTCTCTCATTAATTATATCGGTATGATTCTGCTACCTACAAAAATATATATTATCCTGATTATAGTGTTTTTTTTTCATATTTGCACTCTATTTTAAAATGAATGATATCCACATTTATTAATTTTGCCAAAGAACTTTTTAATGCTGATGCAAGATACCTTCATGCAGAAACAACTTTACCGCATCATATGACAATACAAAAGGAAAGGGAAAAGTTCAATTAATCATGCCAAGAAGACAACATGCAACATCTACAATTGTTTTATTACATAAACTTTCAACCATTAATTGTATTGTAACGTTTCAGTTATGACTTTATTTCAATTTTATTTATATGTATATGGTGAATCAAATCATTTTCCATCGATTGGTATTTGAGGCCTAAATAGTTAATTTTAAAATTAACTCACCTGTAAAGGAAATTACTAATGATCATAATTACCAGAATTTTGATTGTCTTCATGATGCCTTTTTGAGTTAAATATAAAATATATCAAATTCAATTTAGTGTTTAAATGATAAAGCGACACCCTTCTAAACTTATTTTACTGTTTAATATATTTGAAATTTTATAATATAAGGAAACAAATATATATTTGAAGGATATAGATCAAGCTAATTATCCGCAAAATACATTTTGATATTAATCATAAAAGATCAATATGAATGGCCTAGCCCAAAGGAATGTCAGGTACAAAAAAAATTTAATAACCGGCCCTAAAGAACTTCGCCGTTAACCACATCCATTCTCCGTCCATTACATATCGCTATATACAGCTATATACAAGCCGCCGCAATCAACGTCAACTCTTACTACAGATCGACAACTTTCAACCGCTACCGACAATTTTAACTGCTAATCGGTTATTATAAACTTCTTCTAACCGGAAATTGCCTAATGTCAAGTCGCGGATATAGCACATACAAACATCGTACATGGGAGTATCCTTCCCTTCTATTCCTCTTCCTATTTGTAAGCTTTACGGAAAATTACGTCAACGGTGTGTAAAAAGTAATCGGGTAAGAATTCTCTTGTATCAATTGTATTTCTTCATTCCATGATAGATTCATATACGCATCTATCTACTCTTCATCTTCTTTCTTAGTGTTTACGAACTCCAACATTCAGATGCATTATTTTAATATGAAACAATGTTCATCAAATATAACCAGTCAATTTAGGGCTTCAATGTTATTTCTTGAAAGAGACTATCACAAAATTTGCACTGGCAATACATTAATTTCCCTTCATTTTCCCTCAAATAGTGTTAAAATATCCGAAACTGGTTCTTTCAAGACAATCCTATCTGATATCAAAGCATTCCAGTGTGAACGACCAATTACCAATTTTAACTTTCTAATAGTACCTGTGGAAATGGTTTAATTTCCTATTAAAGTATAACAAATTCCAACCCTGCACAACAACAAATAATTTTGGGTTTCCACTAAATTACAAATCTTACAATTTGCACGTTACTGAATAAACTTCAAATTAAGGGTTTTTTTGGAAAATACATATATCTTATGTTTGCGATTTTCATTGATAAGATTAAAAAATTATTAACATATCTTATTTTCAACTTGCATATACTGTGAAACCCAGTTGGAGTTCTAAAATCCTCTTCGCACTTCTCTTCACTAACGGGTATGTTCAATGTCCTTTCCATTTTTGCATCCTCGCATACACAAACTTTACTTTTCGGCAAACACTGTTAAGTTTCACTATAAATTTTCAATGCATTCCATCTATTGGCAAACATTTTACAACAGCGATTCAGCAAAAATTGCACATACGTTTTGGCTGAAATACAAATGAATTATAATTTAATATAACATACAATTATTTGAAAATAAGTAACTCATACAGAATTTTTCAACGATTTATGCAAATTAAGAGTATAATGAACAAAACAATAGACATTTCCACATACAATTCTAAATCGACATTATCTAAAACCATATATATATATATATATATATATATATATATATATATATATATATATATATATATATATATATATATATATATATGATCGATTGGCTAACATAGCCGAACATCTATTCAGTAACAGACACCTCGTTTTATATGAAAAAATTCTACTATATTGTTTATATACATTTATTTTCGATATTCTCAATGAATGTTTATTGTTTTTTTTACTAATGTTACTTCATAGCATTTTACTACATGTTATAAACATCAAATAATTATATAAACAATGTAAATAAATGAACAACATTAATAAATATACATCTTAGATCTAAAGCTATGTAAAGATTTTTACACCTATCATAAACATTGATATACCAAAGTAATTAATGCATTCCAGAACCAATTCATTTCTGTTTATTAAGAACCAATTAGACATAAAGTGGCTATTTTCACCGCACAATACGCAGGAAACAACCAATGTCAAGAGACCAATACAACATTCATGACATAATTCCAAATATGAAGAAAAATTGGACTGTCTTGATTCAAGTTTTGGAATGTGGACACATAAAACTAAGTAAGGAAAGGAAAAAATTTAGAAGGATCGTGTTTGCTGACACACAGGTATACAAGATATCCTTGCATATCTCACAACATTTGAATTAATCTAATCACATTGCAAAACAGGGAACAAGGGTGCAAGCATTAATCTGGAGCAATAACCTTGACTATTATGAAAATACTTTCGAACCCTACAAGCGTTATCAAATATCAAATGCTAATTTGATATACACTGAACCACGTTTTCAACTTGATTCATATGAATATTCATGGACACTAAGCAAACTGACACTCATTGAACCTTTTCAAGATGAAACCTCACCAACACTCACATGCAATTTCACCTTTACTCCCTTTAGTGACCTGTACAAATATGCAGATGAGGAAAGAGATATAAGTACGCAAAAATTACTTGTTCAATACTAATCACTCATTTTTATTATGCCCTTTACTAACTATGATGTTCAAATTGCAGATGTGAGGGGTATTGTAATAAAATGTTTTCCAAGTCAAAAGATGAAACAAGGCCAAGAGCCATCTTCAAAAAGAGATGTAATCATTGTTAACGAAGAGTATGTGGACAATTGCCCAATAACATTGAGTATGAGACTTTATTTATTTAAATTAAAAAATATTAATCATATTATTCCTACCTTTTAATTTTCAGGAAAAAACTTTTAATATTAACATTATGGAATTACATCAATGAAAATGAAGGCAATACCTTAGACCAAATAGTGGAATCCGGGCCAATGATATTCGCACTGAGAGTAAAGGTGACAACTTTCTACGGTAAGATAATGTTGCTTAGAACACTATATATATATATATATATATATATATATATATATATATATATATATATATATATATATAAACACAATTTTTTAAATCATTTTTAATCTTATGTCTTATAATCACACAGGACAATCACTCTCAACAAGTAGTAGCTCTGCAATTCTTATAAATCCACCAGTGACAGATGATTTACAGCTAAAAAATTGGTACAATCCACAAACCCATTAACCAAAATTCATTTTAATTAATTCTATTTGTATTTGTCAGGTATACAAATAGCAAAACAGGAATTAAAAAACTACTTCAACAACAAACATATAAGGATACCGATATTCTGTTGCCCCCTCCCCAAGAGAGAGACATACTTCTGATAGGCAAAGCAATTACAAGAATGAAAAATGTTAGTAACAACAATATCTTTTCATGACCTTTTACACAATATTCTATACTATCATTATCTATATAAAATTTTCACTTAAAACAGGGTAAACCTACATGGATAAAAGGAAGTCTTATGTTGCCTCGTCAAGATAGAAGTTTCACACAAACAGCATGTGCCAATTGTTTAAAACCAGTTGTGGCTGATGTACAGTGGATCATCACATGCTCTGCCTGCAAAAAACAATCTAAAGTGCAGCTCATGTAAGAGTATTCCATCATTCAATTATTTAAAAAATATTTTTAATACTAAATGATAAGTCAATGTGAAGGTCTAGGGCAATAGTCGAAATCGATGATGGTACCGGTTCAATTGCAGCAATGATTTTAACGCCAGAAATTGAAAAGTTTATGAAAGTCGACTACAATGATATCAAAGATGCAGGAGAAAATATAAGCCTATTATTTTAATATTACAATTCAAATTTAACAATTTATTAATTATGTTATCATTTTACAAACTAGGAACAAACTGTACAAAATATAATTGCAAAATCAATTGCATCATTACCACTTCTGGCATATGTACGATCATATGAGACATCAAATCAAGAAAACCAAACTACAAGATTCGTCGTTGTGAAGGCACATAGGCTCCCAGAACATCAAAACGAAAATAAACAACAACTCCAACTATCAAATAAAGAGGAAACTTTATCAACAACAAAACAGTGTTCTCCTAAGCAACCACAAAAGCGAAACCAAACAGACAGTGGGAAAGCAAAACTAACAGAAACATCTACAGCTGGCACATCAAGACCAACAAAAAAATTGAAATAGATATTAACATCTATCAAATTTAAATAAAAAATCTATACTATTATTATATTTTAAACCGCTACTTCCATTAGATATTATATTCATCAATTTCATATGATGTTATGCTTATGTAATATACTACAAAATGATATATTATTATATTTTAAGTTTGTATATATTGTATTATTATATCAACTCTTATTAATTATTGTTGCTTCTAAACATAGTGCATATTGTAACATTCCATTACATTAAATAATGTATAATAGTTTACATCACTTTAGATCACCCATGCATCTCTTATATAATAATCGATACATCTCTTATATAATAATCATTTCATTACAGACTTTTGAAACGTTACATTTCTAATCAATGATTTTTTTATAATAACCATTTCATCTTTATCAAATCAATGATT